CTATTAAAAAAGAAAAATATATTTATAATGTGCAAGACAAATATGGATTGAACAGAAAATGTTTCACATTTTGATCTAGTCTAAAAATTAATAGCTTGATCAGACTAATGAATGGAACGTTCGCATTCTCAACTATTAGCCACAAGGTGTGTCCCAAGGCCTCTGCGAAATGAGGAGACCCAGGGGCCATTCCCACATGCCTTGCGAGAGGCAATGGGGTGGAAGTCACTTTCAAGTCAAGTGCATTCCTGATTCACTGATCACACCAGCTCTGAGCATTCTGGGCGAGATGAAGGTCAATGTAGCAGGTTTTGTCCCAAATTTTAACCAGTGATCTAGTTACCTGCCATCGGCCCTATTTCTTACCAGTAAGTAATCACAATGCATTGAAAAGTCACTTGTAATCCTGCAGAATTAGGCATAAGTTGTTGTAAAATAAAAAAACAAACAAACCTATTTTGTCAAAACTGGCAGTGTAAAGAAGGCAGCACTGGAAGTGTCTGATTCATCTGTAATGCCAAGTACCCACCATAAACTTTTAATGTGGTTAGGCTTTGGGACCCATCGTTTAGAAAACTTAAAAAAGTACATACTTTTCTCATAGGCTCACATAACCTACAATTCTCTTCACTCAGCCTAGCTGAACTTCAGCTTTAGCAAATCTTATACAAGCTATGTCTCTAGGTCTACAGGGTAGCATTAAGAATTCAAACCAAACCAATAGACAAGAGACCACTTAGGTTTAGTGTCACCATAGCAGCCTTTTATAAGTTTACTAACAACTTTAGCCTAATCCCAATAAAGCCTGATAACAGTCATAAGAATTCATTAGGAAGTTTACTGGGGGGTACCATTATACCCATGCCTTTACGAGTCCATATAGAGATATAGTATTTATGTATATATATATAGTTAAGAGTGAATTTGGATTGCCTGAGTAACAGCTGTCTGGCAAACTGGACATGATGGCGTTCTCTTTTCACAGATCTTGTTGGCACATTCCATGCAGAAGAGGTTGTGGCCACATGGAACTAGGGCAGCAATGACTTCATTCTCAAAGCAAATCACACAGTCGTGCTTTCTTCTTGATTCTGGAGGTGAGCTGGAGGTGGAACCACCATTGGAAGAGGAGTAACTATTGATACTATTAGAAAAAGCAGGGATGTATGTTGGAAGGCCGACATGGTTGCCTGTACTAGGTGGGTCGCTCCTAACCCTCCGAGCAAGTGGGTGTTCCATGCTCTCGGGAAACGTAGAAGACAGACAAGGAGCAGATGGCTGGCTTCCTCTGCGCTGAGTCTTCATGTTACCAGAAGGATCACTCCCAAAGCTCGAGAGTGTGTTCACTGGTTCAAATGGAGTCCAGATAGTTTGAGCGGATGTTGGTAAAGAGTCAAAGGCTGGAGAGTCAACGGCAAGATCTTCTGAGCCCACTGACGGAAGCGTATCTCCAAACCAGAAGTTGCCGGTGCTAAATGGGCTCGTTGGACTAAAGTCAGCCAGCCTATTGCTTCCGAAGTAGGAGTCTGTAGAACCACTTCCTAGGGAACTGGAGCTATCATTTCTATAATTGGAGATCATTCTCGCACGGCTCGTAAGAACTGAATTGGAAGAGAGCCACGCCGAGCCGAGAGTGCTACCTTCAAAGCTCACGTCGGTACCATTGTAATGAAAATCATTCTCCTCATTGAGTTCAATATCGTTTCCTGTACGCATGGCAATATGCATTTCTATTTCCTCGCGTGTTCTGTCAACGTTTTCGGGCATCCCTGTCACTTCAAAGACAGGCTCCTTATCTCTGCTTGGAGTCACGATGTACGTGTGGGTCTGCTGCTGGATTCTTTTAATAGTTGCTCCTTTGGGTCCAACCACGAGGCCGACCACGCGATAGGGGACCCTGACTTGAACAGTGGTCTGACCGGGCAGATTGGGGCTACACGACAACCCTCCCAGGGCCGGGCTGTTTTTGTTTCGAGATGCACGAATCATGGAGAAGTGCTCCGCAGCTGAAAGGATTTCTCTTTTCGCCATGGCCACGTCTTCCTTCCGCCCTGTGACGACAAAAATGGGCTCTTCACCGCGAACAGGGGTCTTGATGTAAGTGTTTGTCTTGGCCCTCAGCGCTTTAATTTTACAACCCTGGCGCCCCACGATCTCGGCGACGTGCTCGGAGCTGGGCACCGGGACGCACTCGGTGGTGTTGACGCTCTTCCTCCGGAGCAGGGCCGCCTGCCCCCCGTTGAGCGCGGCCGCCGCCGCCCCGCAGCCGCCGGGCCCGTAGGCGTGGGACAGCATCGCCGCCATCATGCCCTGGGCATCGTCCGCTCCGTAGAGCACCCCCGCCGCCGCGGCCGCCTCCCGGGCATCAGGAGAAGCCGGCGGCGGGCAGCAGCACCGAGCCCAGGGACCCACCCGGGGTCGGCGGGGTCTGGGAGGTGGCGGAAATTTAATTTTTTTTTTTTTTTTTAAAAGACCTATTTGGTTTTTGCTGAGTTTTTTTGTTTTTGTGTTCGGTTTGGTTTGGGGTTTTTTAGCAGTCCATAGTGTATGTTCAGTACTCTGACTGTGGAGCAGCAGTGAGCAATCTGTGAGTTGTTCTGGTTTTACCTCAGTACTCACTACTCCTGAATAGCTAACACTGTTTCATTCATTTAAGATCTTTCTGATTCAACTGATTTCTGTTCACCTGGAGCAGCAATAGAGGAGAGTGGCTTCTTGAACTACCTGCTAGTCCATAAGGCTAAAATTGGACAGAGCGCAGACATCATTATTGAATGTTTTGATTGACGATTCTATAGAAGAATCTTATCAAAGTGGGGAGAATGTGGAACAGGATCTCACATGCTTGTTGAATGACTTTTTAAAGTTAATGAGTTTGAATAATCCCCGGAAGGAATTGCATTTAGATAATCTTTAAACTTATAACAAAACTGCCCACCAAAGTTATTTATAAACTAAATAATGTTGGTGTTGTTAGGTACCATCAAGTTAGCTCCCACTCATATTATTGCTGGTAGGTGCTTTCCAGTCTACTATTGCTCATAACAACCCTATGAACAGATGTGAACTCCGTCCTGTACCATCCTCATCATCGCTAACATACTTGAGTCCATTGCTGTAGTCACTGCATCAATCCATCAACTCATTGGTCATCTTCCTCTCTTTCGTTGACACTTCACCTTTCCAAATATGATGTCCCTTTCCTAGAAACAGTCCTTCCTGACCACATGCCCAAAGTGTATGAGATGAAGCTTTGCCATCCTTGTCTCCAAGGATCACCTGGCTGCACCTTCTAAAGACATAGAAATTCATAAGCAACTAAGTACTCCTCTACAACACTGCAAACTCAAAGGCATCGATTCTTCCTCTGTCATCCTCAGTGATTGTCCAGAACTCAAATGCATAGCAAATTACTAGAAAGACCATGGCTTGAATCCAATGCACTGTAGTCTTCAAACCTATAACATTGTTCCTCAGTACTTTGGAGAAGTCCTTAACAGCCGACTTTGCCAAGACATCACATATTTTGATTTCTTGACTGCTGGTGCCAAGGGTGTTGATTGTGGACCCAAGCAAGATTAAATCGTTAACAATCGCAGTCTTTTTAACTATCATGTTTCCTGTCGGCCCAGTGGTGAGGACTTTTGTCTTCTTGATGTTGAGATGTAATCCATATTGAAAGCTATTGTCCTTGATCAAGTGTTTCAAATCCTCTTACCTTTCAGCAAGATCGTGTCATCTGCAGTGGTTGTTGATGAGTCTTCATCTAATCCTGATAGTGCATTTTTCTCTATAGAACCCAGCTTTGTTGATGATTTGTGCAGAATACAGATTGAATAGATATGGAGAAAGGATACAACCCTGACACACATCTTTCTTGATTTTAGGCCATGCAGTGTTCCCTTGCTCTGTTTGCACAACAGCTTATTGGTCTAGGTATAGCTTCATATGAACCTTATTAGATATTCTGAGATTTCATTCTTCTTAAAGTGAAGCATAGTTTGTTATGATCCACACAGTCAAATGCTCTTGCATAGTCAATAAAACACAAATAGACATTCTTCTGATAGTCTCTTCTTTCAGCCAGGAGCCATCTAACATCAGCAATGATATCCCTCATGCCATGGCCTCTTCTAAACCCAGCTTGAACTTCTGGCAGTTCACTGTCAGTGTATTAGTCTAGCTGTTTTTTTAATGATCTTTAGCAATATTTTGCATAATGTGATATTAATGATATTGGTTTATAAGTTCCATATTCTGTCGACTCACCTTTCTTGGGAATGGGAACAAATCTAGCTCTCTTCCAAGTTTCCCAGGCTTAGCTGATACCATTTCCACTGACTCAAACATTTGGTAATACCATTTCAGACAAGAGTCTTATAACAAAGTTTACAGAATATTCTTGGGCCTCCACAAGAAAAAGACTGGTAACTCAATTACAAAGTGGGCAAAAGACATGGAAAGAATCTTCACAGGGAAAGATATTCAAGTGGCAAACAGACACATGAAGAAATGCTCCAAATCCTAGTAATAAGAGATATGCAAATTGAGACCACAATGAGGTACCATCTCACTCCAGTAACAGTGGCAAAGTTTAACAGGGTAGCAAGTAAGTAATAAATGTTGGAGAGGATGTGGCAAGAAAGAAACTCTTATACATTGTTGGTGGGATTGTAAAATGGTTCAAGCATTCTGGAAGTATGGCCCTTCCTCAAAAAGCTGCACATAGAAATTCCATATGACCCAGCCATTCCACTACTTGGAATAAACCCTGAGAAAATGTGAACTGAGGCACAAATGGAGACTTGTACACCAATGTTCATAGAAGCATTATTGACCATCACAAAAACATGGAAATAGCCCAAATGTCCAACCACAAACGAATGGACTGAGAAATTATGGTACACAATGGAATACTATGGAGCATGTAAAAGCAATGATTTTGTAAATTATTATCTGACTTGGGAGGGACTGGAGAGCATTATGTTGAGTGAACTAACTCAGTCCCACAAGGATAAATATCATATAAAACCATTATTGTGGAATGAGTATAAGAATCCAAGAGGGGTGGGAGGGTGGAAGCAGAAAGGTGAGGATGTTCAGGGAGAGGGAGGATTAATTACAGAGTTGTACAATTTGATGGAGGGGTGATGTATTCGAATTTTATAAATAAACTTGTTATTGTTGTTGTTATTTGCTGTCAAGTCACCTATGACACATAGCAACCCTACATACAACAGCCCTAAACCCTGCTCTAATCCTTGCCAATCTTATTGTCTTTGACACACCTATCCCTATTACCCCAGTGACTGAATCAATCCTTCTCATCAAAGGTCTTCCTCTTTTGTGCTGTCCCTCCACCCTCCCAAGCATGATGTCCCTCTCCAAGGACTGATCCCGCCTTGCAACATGTCTAAAGTATGTCAGACAAAGCTTCAGAATCCTTGCCTCCAAGAAGCAGACTGGCTTCACCCTCTCCAGGATGAACTTGTTTTCCTGGCAGTCCATGGTATATTCAATACTTTTCTCCAGCACCACAGCTCAAAGGCATCAAATCTCCTTCTATCATCCCTAGTCATTGTCCAGCTAGCTCTCTGATGCATAGCAAGTAATTGCAACGGTCATGTCATGTATCAGGTTCACCTTAGTCTCCAGACTGACATCGTTGCTCTTTAGTACTTTGAAGAGGTCTCTGACAGCGGCTTTCCCAATGCAATTTGTCTTTTAATTTCTTGGCTGCTGGAACCACAAATAAACTAGTAGAAAATTTTTTAACAAAAGAAAATATGGTAATTCTGGTAGGAGTTGCATTTTTAGCTCTAAAGTGGCACCTCACTGGTAATTCAGCTCCACCAGTGGCTCCATGAAACAAAGATGAACAATCTCTTCCCATCCTTTGGTTCAATTCAAAGCCTTGGAAACTCAGTAGAGTCAACTATGAGTTGCTTCTGACATAATAGCCATGAGACAGAGAATGTACTTAGGTAAATGCAGACCAACAAGGAAAAATGTGCCATGTGATGAAGTGACTTACAAAAAAACAATAAATATAGGAAATAATCTCAGTTTTCAGACAACGGTAATTTCAAAACTTTACAAAATTATATGGAAAAGTGCTATTGTGCTTGTACTATGTGTATACATGTGTATGTACAATTATTCAGGCAAAAATATCCATATAAGATCAAAGCCATGTGTTCCCTTCTCAGGGCTCCAAAGGACCTGTGGAGGCCAACAATCATGTAGACCCAGACTGTGTCCTTGACTTGCTGTTGTTGTTGCTACATATAGGAAGCCAAATTTCATACTAAATATTTGTAATAAACCAAATGCTACATCAGGTTATGAGGAAGGCTGATACAAGCTGGAATTCATCCCAAAGTACTAAGGAAATCCTTAAATGTTTATAGGGTTAGACACGAAGGCAATCCTTAAGGGTTTACAGGATTCTTGCATTGTAGTTGCTAACCCCTCCCTCCTGGATCAAGCAAGTTTTCAATAGAAAGAGCTTAGCTTCATTTGCATTGAATTCTCTTGGTGATTTGCTCCCTGGCAATTTTCAATAAAGACACAGGGAAGCTAGGATACTTCTGTTCACTTCAGTTGTTTGAGAACTGTTCGCCTCCTGCTTTACCTGTTTTCTCCTACATTCTTGGTGTTCTGTCTCATTATTAATATTTATTAATATACTTTACCCTCGGTCTGCAACAGTTACATATCGTCAAGTCCAAACCCATCCATAACTGACCCTCCACAGGATTTTAGGAGGCAGTAAATTGCACAGGAGTTTGTCCACCTTCCTTTTGTGGAACATCTGGTGGTAGATATGAACCACATGTCTTCAGGCTGGTAGTGCAGCTCCTCACCAAGAGGCCACTCCTCTGCACAGAAAGTCTTGTCAAAAAATAACTAGTAATATGAGGATGACGTTACACAATCCTGGGGATTACACATTGCCAGGCATGCTTTATTGCATAGAAAGACAAGAACATACACAACAGCTCATGAATTTCTTGTGCAAACATCTCCATAAATTTCTCTGGAAAGGGCTTGGGTAAATTTTCAAGAAGGGATCTTGTCACAACTCACATCAGAACAAAAGTGCAATGGCTTAGTGTCTGACATTTAAACATTCACACAAGTCTTGGTAATGCGATTCATGCTTCAGCTTTCTGCCATCTTCCCTGGTCGCCAAAGAAGACAGGGCACCAATCAGGCTAGTGAATCCCTGCTAGTCACAGTCGACTCCGGAGCACTGTGGCTCAAGGACTGCAGTGGTTTCTTCCTTCACCTCCAGGAAAGCTCCACGCTCTTTGGAAAAAGTGGTTTTACTCTCAAGGCAGGCTTCTGCCACACAGTCAGGGTCATTTCTGTGCTTGTTCTTCAGTCTTCTTTTGTATGTCTGATATGCTAGACATTAAAAAGACAAGTATTAAAAATCACTACAGCAAAGACTATCATTTTATTTTGTAGTTGTTCATATTCAGGGCTTAAGCAATGCACATATATAAAAACACACAGACAAGAAAGGGGCGGTGAATATAAAACTAAGACATAAATGAGTTGGTGTTTCAGAATGGCTTTTTCTATCTGAAATGGAGCACCCACGATTGGGACTCATTCACCAGGTTGCTGACAGCTCATTTATTTGTTCACTCAATCAGCAAATGCTTTTAGAGTGTCTGCTGCTCGAGTATCCCCAGTGCTACTGTGTAGTGTCCCTTCCTTCCCAGTTTCACCATGAGAAAAATTCAAAACTGCAATCTAAGACCATGAGTTCCCCTGAAAGAATTTCTCTTAGGTTGTAGGACAATAAGACCCTGAACTAATTATGCTGCAGCATCTCATTTATCAATTGTTCTATCAGTAGCCATCTAGCCTTTCTGAGATAACAATTTGCACTGGCTCCAGAGAAATAATTTGCCTTCATGTATTCGCATCAATATTGAACTCTAAAACACATATCCAACTTGTAATTCACATTTGAGAAAATAGTTTGGCTTTTGAAATAATTATGAAAGAATTTGGCCTTTGGACAAAATTAGTTCTTGATGAAACACTCCAAAATAGCAAGTGCTCCATTTTGCTACTTTTTTTTTTAGATCAGTGGTTATTCATGGAGACTTTGTTTTTCCAAGTTCTAGTTCTGATGATGCACTGATTTTTGTGAATTATATTTGTTTTATAAGGTCAGATGGTTTTGGGGTTCTTTTGTGGCTTGGCCTTTCTCTCTCTCTTTTTTTTTGTTGTTATTGTTGGGTGCTATCAAATCAGATCTGACTGGCACAGGAAGAGATTGCCCCTCCTTTTCCAGTGGAGCATCTGGTGGATTAGAACCACACACCTTCAGGATTGCAGCACAGTTTCTTGCCACTGGGCCACCAGAGCTCCAGTTCAGATGGTTTTTTATATTTGTCTTTCAAACTTCTACTTGTGGCAAAAGATACTGTTTATGTACTTATTTTCCCCATAAATGTCAAGCTAAAATGATTACATTGGCAGCACATACACGTTTGAATGGAAAAAGGAGCCAGTCAGTTGGGTTGACCATTTTAAGTCATGTCTTCTGAATGGGGGCTCCACCCACCTGCAATGATGAGAAATCCATAAACCAGCTGGAAGAGTCCATAAGCCAATGGAAAGTAAAACATCTGCATCAGTTGCTCATCCCTGAAAGACAACTGGAGCATGGAGACACACATCTGAATATTCTGAGCACCAGTTTCCAAAGAAATAGTCCTGCACCTACCAGGAAAAAATTCAAGAGTTACATGGTAGCAATAACAACTACTCTAAGCTTTCTATTAAACAATGTATAGCAACAATTGTAAACTTTTCAGTTTATATCATCAAAATATTGACTAACTAGAAATCTCGTATACATCTAATAGGAATGAAAAAGGGTTCAATCACTATGCAAAGCAGTTAGAAAGTTAGGAATGGAAATAGCATTTGATAAATTGTCAGCAAGCCTTCTCAAATATATCTCAAAGAAATGAGGTCTACAACACAAACAAACATACAAACAAACATCCATGTTATCCACACTATAAAAAGTCAGAAACAACAAACTGTCCATTAAGAAACAAATGGCTTCTACAACCAGGAGAAGATAAAATAGATGAATGGGATCTTCTAAGAATCAAATCCCTATGCACATCCAAAAACTTCTCCAACAGGGTAAAAAGGGAAGCCACAGACTGGGAAAAAGGGATTGGGAATGATATGTCAGATAAGAGACTTAAATCTAGAATTTATAAAATACTTGAGCACCACAACAAGATAAAGGTAAATAATCCATTTGAAAAAGGGGCACAGGATATGAACAGACACTTCACCAAAGAAGATATTCAGATGTCCAACAAGCACATGAAGAAATGTCCAAAATCCCTAGCTCTAAGAGAGATGCAAATCAAAACAACTATGAAATATCATCTCACCCCAGTCAGAATAGCAAAATTTAACAAAACAACCAGCAACATATGCTGGAGAGGTTGTGGAGAAACTGGAACTCTTATTCACTGGTGGTGGGAGTATAAAATGGTGCAACCACTATGGAAGGCAGTATAGCCCTTTCTCAAAGAGTTGTAAATAGAGATACCATTTGACCCAGCAATTCCACTACTGAAAATATATCCCAAAGAGACCGTAACATGCAAGCAGATAAATGCACACCCATGTTTATTGCGGCTTTGTTCACAATAGCAAGGAGTTGCAAACAACCTAAGTGCCCATCAACAAACGAATGGATAGAGAATCTGTGGTATATTCACACAATGGAATACTATGCTGCATTGAAAAACAAGGAACTCATCCAATATTATTCGAAATGGGTGACCCTGGAGGACATTATGCTAAGTGAAGTATCTCAGTCACAAAAGGATTAATACTGCATGGTGCCACTGCTGTAAAATGGGACTGATATCAGGGTTGGGGTAAGACTGAGAAAAACTGGATAAATTGCATATACTGCATTGAAATTGATGAGGGAAAGAATAATTTAAAAGCGATGTATGATAGGTTATTATGGTTATCACAAGAGTCCACAATTATGGTTGCATAGTGGAGTGTACTTGGGGCGGTGGGAGGGGTGCGGGGGGGGTTGTATATCAAAGAAAGATTTTTTCTTTTACTTTTCAAAGAGAGGAGCGAACTGGGGCAGAGGGGGCAGGGGGGAGGGCTGGGCAGGGAGAAAAGTGTAACAATGAATGAATGGAAATCCAAAATCTCTGTAAGTGTTCATTAAAATTATTAAAATAAAATCTAAAAAAGAAAGAAGCAAATGGCTACCTCCATTAAGAGACAAATGGCTAGAGAAATTCTGATATATACACAATAAAATATTATACACCACTAAAAACCAACAAGAATTCATGAAACACTATGCAACATGGATGAATATAGAACAAATTATACAGAGTGACATAGTCACAAAAAATATGAGTCCACTATCCTAAAAAACTAAAATGGTTTACATGCAGATAGAATGAATTTCAGAGGTTTAACAAGGATGGGAAAAGAGGGAGAAGGGGTTAAAAATAAATAGTTAAGTTGGGAGAAGGGAATATACAATAAAGGGTGAATTCACATTGAAATTAATCAATTAACTTGATCATTAGTAACTGCTGTTGTTAATTGTTGGCAAGTCAGAACCAACCCATAGCTGACCCTTAGTGTATTTTCGGAGGCACTAAATCACATGGGAGAAGATTTCCCATCTTTCTTCCATGAAGCAGATGGTGGATTTGAACCATGTGCTTTTGGGTTGGTAGTGCAACTCCTTACCCACATAATCAATGCTATAAAAAAAGTCTGTGAATGATTATATGAAAAAATCAATACAAATTGTAAACTTTCACTGAAGTAAAATAAATTAATAAGTAAAATAAGTTTTTAAAATATTGACTAATTATTTGCTATGCCTGTTCTACAGGGGTTCCCTGAGAGGCACTAAGATCAGCCCTAAGAATCCTACCCGAGCTACCCTAATAGTCTTGAAAGGGAAGCTATCACAAGCAAGAGAGGTTCAGGAATAGCACAAGTCAACCTTTGACTGGAAGGGGGGAAAGCTAAGGAAAGATTTATACACAAAAATAAACGTGGAGGCCTTCCCTCTGAATCACTTTCCAGGGAGGCAGGCAGGCCAGTCCCTTTGGGGGTGTAACTTTCTAATAAATCTATAATTATGATTTAACCATATATATAAAAACATGGAGGACTGACAAGAATGGGAGGGGAAAGAAAGGGGAGTAGAGATTAGCAGATAGATGGGTAGAGTGAAGACAAAGGCATGATACAGTGAGGACTTAATGAGATGTTATAACACAATTCATGTTATAAAATAAAATGTAAGTGAAAAATAATTTTTTTTAAAAATGAATGAAAACAAACAACCACAATAATTACAACAACGAAACAAAAGGGAACGCAAATGTTTAAATTGGTTGTTGTGCTTTAAAAGTTTGGTAATGAATTTTCTACTTTCTGTGTATTTTGTTGTTGCTATGTTCTTATGTGCCGTCGAATTGCTATGCGACTCATAACGACCCTATGTACAACAGCCCTAAACCGTGCTCTATCCTGTGCCAGTCTCACTGCCTCTGTCACACCCATCCCAATTACCCCAGTCACGGAATCAATCCACCTCATAGAGGGTCTTCCCCTCCTGCGCTGTCCCTCCACACTCCCAAGCATGATGTCCCTCTCCAAGGACCTGTCCCTCCTTACAACATGTCCAAAGTATGTCAGACAAAGCCCCAGAATCCTT